CCCCCGCCTCTCCCCACCAGTCACTCAGGGCTCCTTGCCCTACTGCCTGAGCAGGCTACAATCTTCCACCCTATTGCTCTGTACTGCCCCAGCCCAATCCTTGCCCCCCACCTCTCCCCCAGCCAGCCACGGTCCCCTGCCACAGCCCTTCAGCACCCCCCAGTCAATCAGGATCCCCATTGCCCCAGTTCCTCCCCCGCACCCCCATGGCAGCCAAGACCCGCTGCCCCATTATCCCCTAGTGCTCATCTGCACCCAAGAGCCACTAGATCATATCATGCCCCCTGCTCCTCCTTACCTCTTTGGGTCGGGCTGGTCCTGCTTGCTTGCCCATCCTGTCCCGTCTTTCGGCACTAGTGAGACGTTGGGGTCATTGCCTTTGTTCTCCGCTTTCAGGCTCGGCAGGTTGGCGGGCGGCGGCATGCGCCGAGCGATAGCAACTTTCCCCAGACTCTGCAGGCCATGGCGAGGGGCTACTGCGAGCAAGGGGGGTGGAGGGGAGAGGGAGTGGGGCGGAGACACAGGGCAGGTCATATATCGAAGTAATCCCCACCTCCGAGCCCTGCCTGAGATGGGGGCAATGGTGTGAGCAAGTGCCCAGTGTAGAGGAGAGAGTGCTGCCCCAGCACAGCACCCCCTGCCCCGCCTGCCTACCTGGGAAGGCACCCCCTGCTGGACCCCTTTGAGGCTCTTGGCCCCACCAACCTTCCCCAGCTTGAGAGATTCTGTTGAGTTGGGCATGGAACTTGGGCATCCGGGCTCCCAGCCCCCCCTGCTCTATCCTAACAGACCTCACCAGAATGAGGAAGAAGCCCAGGCACCTGGGTTCCCAGCCCCCCACTTTCATCCCATGTACCCCACTCATCTTCCAGAGTAGGGAAGAGAACCCAGGCATCCAGGCTTCTAGCCCCTCCTGCTCTATCCCCAACAAAGGGGGAAAGCCAGGCATCCAGGCTCCCAGCTCTAACCTACTAGATCCCACTGTTCCCCACCAGACCCCAAACTATGAGGGAACCCAGGTACCTGGGCTCCCAGCACCACCCTCCCTGGCTGGAACATAACTGACCCCACCAGAATGAGAAGGGAACTCAGGTGTTCAGACCCCACAGCCCTGTCCCAGAATTCAGAGGGTAGCCAGGAGTCCAGGCTCTCAGCCCCCAGCACCCACTTCCATCCTGAAACTGGGTCAGTACACCTTCCCCACGCACCTAACTGACAGCACATTGCCACCTAGAGCCACCCCCCACCAACTCTGCCTGCAGTGGGAGTGGATGGTATGAGCAAGTGCTCAGTGTGGGTGAGAACTGCCACCCCAGCACAGTGCACCCTAGTGCCCCGCCTGGGAGGGAGCAGGGCCAGCCCCTGCCTGCCCCAGGAGGGTGCCCCCCTGCCCCCGCACCTGTGGGCTTCTGGACTTCTAAGGACTTCCCCTTGTATGTGTCAAACAGGTTGAGCGATGAATACTTTTTTCCATCCTTCCCCTTTGCTGTCTGCCCCAGACGATCGGACATCGCGCTGGAAGGTCATTGAGTACGATGGTTCCTCCGGTGCCTTGCGAAACCTGCCTGTCTGGAGAAGGGGAGGAGAGATGAGGATGAGGAGGGCAGGACCCAGGTATCCGGGCTCCCAGCCTGCCCCCTGCCACACCCAGTCCAAGCCCTCTAGATTCAACTCCCTGCCCAGAGGTGGAGAGAGGAATGATGTATCCTGCTCCCTACTGTCACCCCAGCCCCCATTCCCCTCTCAGAGCAGGGAGAGAACCTGGGCTCCCAGGCCTCCACCTTGCTCTAAGCCCTCCAGCTCCCACTTCCTGACCAAAGCTAGGAAGAGATGCTAAGCACCTGGACTTCCAAGGCTCCCCTGCTCTGTAGCAAAAAGGAGGGGAGACTGGCGGCAGCAATCAGCAAGGCCCAGAAGGCGAGAAATCCCCATGGTAGAACACAGGCATTGCTATGCCTAGATCACGGTGACCAGGGTAAGTAGAACACAGCAGAACATTGTCACATCTAGTTCATCCCTAACCAGCATCATGCCCAGATCATCCTGGACCAGGGGTAGTAAACCGAGCAGAACACTGTCATGCCTAGATCATCCCTGAGCATTGTCACGCCTAGATCACCCCGGACCAGGGGGTAATAAAATATAGTCACGTCTAGGTCATCCTGGACCACCGTCATAGCTAGAACAACCCCAGACCAGGGGTAGTAAACAAAGCAGAACATAGTCATGCCTAGATCATCTCTGACCATCACTGTGGTTATATCATCCCAGACAAGGGGATAGTAAAACATGATCACGCCTAGGTCATCCCAAACCATCATCGCACCTAGAACAACCCGGGCCTAGGGGTAGTAAACATAGCAAAACGTCGGCACACCTAGATCATTCTGGACTGGGGTAGTAAACAGAGCAGGCCAGAGTCATGTCTAGACCATCCTGGACCAGGGGCAAGTAGAACATAACAGAACAGCGCTATGATTAGATCATCTTGGACCAGAGATAGTAGAACATAGCAGAACATTGTCAAGCCTAGATCATCCCCACTCTGGGGTAGTAGAACATCGGCTGAACGTCGTCACACCCAGATCATCCTGCACCAGGGGATAGTAGTCACGCCCAATATCATCATGCCTAGATCAGTCCCAACCAGGGGATAGCAGAACACAGCAGAACATCATCAGGCCTAGATCATCCTGGACCAGGGGCGAGTAGAACATCAACAGAACATCGTCACGTCGTGATCATCCCCAAGCAGGGGATAGTAGAACATCACCACGCCTAGATCATTCCTGACCCGGGAACAGTAGCCCACAGCAAAACATCATCAAGGCTAGATCATCCCGGACCAGGGGTAGCAGTGCGCTGTCATACCTAGGTCATCCCCAACAAGGGGATAGCAAAACTGCACAGAACATTATCATGCCTAAATCATCCCCAACCAGCAGCTGCCCAATCTTTTCTTGAACACCTCCAGTGATGGACAGCCCACAACTCCCCTAGGCATCTATTCCAATGGTTCCCAACCTTTTCATGTTGCGAACCAAAAGTGACCGTGGACTGGCAAACTGCAGACCGGCAGTGACTGACATACCACAGGCAGGTCTTGTGAACCCAGCATTCATTCCTGCCTGTGGCAGGGGGGGGGGGGGGAGGGGACAAGTTAGGTCCGCCCGGCCATGACCCTAGAAACTATGAAAAGCTCCGTTAACTGGCACCTTACAAGCCAGCATGCTCTATTAACCGGCATGCCAGCTTGTAAGGTAAAGTGAAACCAGAAGTGCCCACCGTGGCACTTCCGGTTTCTCCGAGCCCCCAGGCCGGGGGGAAAGCCGCCCTGCACTGCCGAGCCCCCACGGCCCGGGGCATAGCAGGCTGCACAGGGCCCACCTCCCTGTCCCACGGGGCCTGCAGGAGGGTCGGTGATGCCGCGGGAGGGGCAGCAACATCCCAGATGCAGCAGGAGAGGCGGCGGTCCAAACAGGCAAGGATGCCTGTTTGGGCTGCTCAATTAACCAAAACATTTTGTTATCCAGCATCTCCCCCGCATTCCCAGAAGATGCTGGATAACAGAGCTTTTACTGTAATATACTTCCAGACTTCCGGTCCGGCAGCCAACTCTCCTGTGGACTGGCAGACAACCCTTCACAGCCCGGGTGTTGGGAACCCCTGGTCTATTCCACTGCCTCCCTACTCTAACAGTGAAGATGTTCTTCCTGAGATCCAATCTCAACCTCCTCGGCTGCCACCTCAAGCCTACAGGTAGAAATACTTTCATTCTTCTTTATATCAGGCCCTCAAATATCTGAAGGTTATCATGTGCCTTCTCCACAAGCTGGGACATGTCCAGCTCCTTCAGCTTCTCTTCGTAGGACTCATCTTCCAAACCCTTGATCATCCTTGTCCTGGACCCTCACAAACTTCTCCGTGTCTAAAATGTGGCGCCCAGAACTGCACACAGAGCTCTAGATGAGGCCTAATTAAGGTCAAGTAGAGAGGAATTATTTACAGTAAGGGTTGTCAAAATCTGGAACGGGCTCCCAAGGGAGGTAGTGGCTCTCTCCTACCTTGGGCGTCTTTAAGAGGAGATTGGACATGCACACAGAGACTTTCCTGCCCAATACAGGGGGTCGGACTCGATGATCTGCCAAGGTCCCTTCTGACCCAAACATCTATGAATCATCTCCTGGGTCTCGCCCCTAATGCTCCTAGTGATGCCATAGGTGGATCTAAGATTTTGATTACAGTGGTGCAGATGATGAGCACCCCTGGCCTAGATCATCCCTGAGCAGCAACCCTAAGAACTGCCATGGACTGGGTCAGACCATAGGTCTCTCTTACCTAGTCTCCTATGTTGCACTGGGGCAGACCGTGGATGCTGGAAGGGAGAGAGAACTGCTTCTGACTGGGGGTTTGCACCCCTATTCCTCTCTCACTTGCAGCCTCCAGCATTTAAGGTCTAGGGAGCTATGATTCAGAGGTTGTGCCCCTCACTCCCATGCTCAATAGCTCCCGATGCCCCTTTCCGCCAAGAATGGCTCCAAGCCCTCTTGGAAAACTGGCTGAACTCTCAGCTTCCACCACATCTGGTGGCAACAAGATCCACAGATTAATTATCCATTGGGGAAGGAAGAACTTTCTCGTGTCTGTTTTAAACTGAAGGCCTGCACATTTCATGCTGTGACCCCTGGTTCTCATCTGGCAAGATAGTTTATAATAAATCCCCACTGGCTCTCTCTTCGCCATACAGTATGTTTTATAAATTCACAGATTGTTAGGAGCTGGAAGGGACCTCGCACACCACTGGGTCCAGCCCCCTGCTCTAGGCAGGAAGACAACTGGGGTCAAGTGACCCAGCAAGGTGACTGTCCAGTCTCCTCTTGAAAACCTCCAGGGTAAGTGACTGTACCACCTCTGGAGAGAGTTTAATCCACAGTCCAGACAGCCTGACTGTGAAGGAATTTTTCCTGGTATTAAGCCTGAAGCAGCCTTCCAGGAGCTTATATCCATTAGTCCTGGTCTACTCCCCAGGGGTGCCCTAGTGAACAGCTGTTCACTGAGCTCCTGATGCACTCCTCTGATATAGCAGTAAGCTGCTATCAAGTCCTCTCTTAAACCTCCTTTTCAAGCTAAAGAGGCCCAGGGCCCTCAGCATTTCCTTGTATGGCTTGCCTTGCAAGTCCCTGATCATACAGGTGGACCCTCTCAAGTTTTTCCACCTCCTCATTGACGTATGGCACCCATGTCTTCTCATGTCCTTAAAGCCTTCTCATGTCCCCCGACAGGTGTCTCTTTTCTAAACTGGAGGCCTGTCTATCTGTCCACCCCACACTATCTGTCCCTCCATCCATTCACCCCACAAGCCACACATCCATCCATCCACACCACTGGTCCCACATGCCATCTTGTCCACGAGTCTATCCATCTGCCCCACAAGCCATCTGTCCACTCACCCATCCCACACACCATCTGTCCATTCATCCCACATGCCATCTGTCCACGTGTCTATATATCCACCTCAGACTCCATTCATCACACTCCATCCATCCACCCACCCGTGTCTACCCACCACACTCCATCCATCCATCCACCCCATGGTCCATCATCCATTTATCTATCTATCCATCCGTCCTTCTATCCACCCCACAGACTCTCTCTCATTAGCCTCTCCTCATATGGAAGCCCCTCCATACCACTAATCATCCTTGCTGCCCTTCTCTGGACCTTCTCCAGGTCTATACCCTTTCAGAGGTGTGGAGACCAGAACCGAGCGCAGTCTTCGAGGTGTGGACACACTGTAGGTTTATAAAAGGGCATCATGAAAAGGTTCCGTTTTGTTTCCAACTCCCTTCTCAATAAGCCCTACCACTGCGTTTGCCTTTTTTGATGATGCCTGGGCCCTGAGCTGACACTTGGAAGCAACCTGGCTGGAAACAAACCCACCCGCAAGTCATTTCCCCCCACCCCCACAGCAGAAATCTGTATTAAGAAGAAAAAGGGATGAGATGGAAACAAAGATTGGTTGGGAAGGGGGTCTTTCTAAGCTCCATTGCAAAGGGGCAGTGATGCCTGAAACAGCCAACAGTGACATTAATACTGCCTATGAACATCAGAAGACAACAACCCACCACCCATTCCCTGTCGAAGTCAGCTGGGTTTTCTTTTTGGGGGGTGTCCACTGTTCATTTATTCTGCCTAACCAGGGCCTTTAAGAGGCTCTTTTCATCATGTATCCCAGCATACAATTCTCTGCCCAAGTGGGCTGGACTTTCTTTTTTGGGGGTATCCACCATTCATTTGCCCCCCCCAACCCAAGGCTCCTTTAAAAGTTCACTCTAGGGGTGCAACGATAAGAGATTTTTGTAGCCGATAGCCGATTTTTGAGGTATATTGGCTGATACCGATCCAATTTCTGATACCAGCCCTGCAGTGTGGAGAGCTGTGCTCAGCTGGTGTGGGAGGGAAGGGAAGGGGCGTGGAGGGGCAGATCAAGGCTCCCATGGGAGGGAAGAGTGGGGTGGGGGCAAGCGCTGCCCAGCTGGGGCAGGCGTGGGACAGAGCCGTGGCT